GAGTAGCGAGAGCACTGGAGTGATCGCGTTCTTCGACGACGGGACCTCGGAGGAAGGCGCCTTGCTCGTCGGCGCGGACGGACTACGATCGCAAGTGCGCAAGCAGCTCCTGTCGCCGTCCTACCCGTTCTTGGACACGGGGATGCGGATCGTGTACGGCAAGACCTACATCACGCCCGAGTTTGAACAGCGCTTTGCGCGAGAGGCCATGGGGGGAATGTCCCTGGTCACCGAGAGGGAGACGGAGGCGCCGAAGACGCTGCTGCTGGAAGCCATTCGGTTCCCGCAGGCGGATACGCCAGTGCGCGGGATCCAATTGCCGAGGGATTATGTGTACTGGGTCCTACTGGCGCATAAAATTGATATCCCGTTAGGAGATGAGGAGGCGTTGAGGTTGGACGGGGACGGGTCGGCGAGGTTGTCATTGGAGCTTACGGCGGAATGGGATGCGTCTGTGAGGGTCTTGTTCGAGGAACAGGATCGGAACCAAACATCCACGTTGAGGATCTGTTCTGTGAGGCCGGATATCCCGGCCTGGGAGGCACATGCGACGGTGACGCTTCTCGGAGATGCGATCCATGCCATGCCTCCAACTGGCGGCATGGGCGTGAACACTGCATTGCGCGACGCGGAGGATATGGTGCGGAGGATTGTTGAAGTGAATGGGTCAAGTGGTGTGGATGTGGATCTGGTCGCAGGGTATGAGGAGAGTTTAAGGAGATTTGCGAGGGAAGCAGTCAGACTCAGTTGGGAAGGAGGACGAAGAGGATTCGACTTGAGACCAGCTGAGACATGTGAGGAAATAGTTTTGTGAGATAGTTGTTTTCTGAAGGGGACGAGGGAAGGCGTTGGCTGTGGGTCGGTGGCAGGTTGGCTATGCATGTATTGATCTCTCCTCACATACACAGCGCATATTCCAGCAATATTCTCTGGCTCCTCGTTGACAGGAGAGTATGCAGTAGTTGCAGTAGTTGCCCATGGAAAGTAATATAGAAAGTGGTGCAAGAATTGGAAGATCAATGCTCCGTCGTCGAAGGGGAAAGTTGTAAATGGATAAGCATGCCGAGCCCCTCCGCGTGCAAACCAAACAAACAGCCGCCGCCAGACCGTCTCCAAGCTCCGTCGAAAATTCCCAGAACAGCTACAGACCAGTGTTGAGGAAGTGTCCCCTTACTCTCTCTATTTGGATATTTCCCCAAACTCCAGAGGAAGTATTTCTTCATCATGTCACTGTCTCTTCCCGGACCCTCCCAGGCGGGTCTTTTCAAGCCTGGGTACCAGAGGTAAGCGAAAGCCCACTCGTGGAATGTCCCCGCCCCTCAAGCCATCAATACCGCCAGGTTCAGCAGGCCAGTAAACTTATATGATATGGATTGGGGTTATGATCATAGAACAGCGGCTGACACTTTATTATCTATAGCCACGATGCCGAAGATGGTGCCGTCATTCGCAACATCGAAGCCTGCCAGGCTATTGCTCAGACTGTCTTGACGTCGTTGGGCCCTTACGGTCGCAACAAGATTGTCATCAACCATTTGCAGAAAATGATCCTTACTTCGGATGCGGCTACCATTCTCCGTGAACTGGAGGTTGTGCACCCCGCTGCTAAGCTGCTGGTGATGGCCAGTCAACAGCAGGATCAGGAGATGGGAGATGGTACCAACTTGGTCATTGTTCTCGCCGGAGAGTTGTTGAAGAAGGCCGAGGAGTTGCTGCGCATGGGCTTGAAGACGAGTGATATTGTTCAGGGCTACGAGAAGGCACAAAACTTTGCGCTCAAGACGCTAGAAGGTGGGTTGATTCTTCCGGCCAGGAGCGCTCGGCGGCCTCAGGGGCTGCTATGAAACAACGAACCAGGCAGACAACGAGTTACTCAACAATTACTGACGCTTGCTTGACAATAGATCTCGAGGTCGATCGCCTTCAAGAACTCCGCTCTCAGACTGAGCTTACCAAGGCTCTCCGCACAGTCGTCGCCAGCAAGCAGTCCGGAACCGAAGATCTTCTGGCCTCTCTGGTTGCAGAGGCTGTCCTTGCTGTCCTCCCCAAGAACCCCGCCAACTTCAATGTCGACAACGTTCGTGTCGTCAAGATCATGGGAGGTGGCTTGGAGCAGTCTCGTGTGGTCAAGGGTATGGTTCTTGGCAGAGAGCCTGATGGTGTGATCAAGAAGGCTACCAAGGCCAAGGTTGGAGTCTTCAGCTGCCCCATCGACATCTCTCAGACTGAGACCAAGGGTACCGTGCTGTTGAAGAATGCGCAGGAAATGCTGGACTTCACAAAGGGCGAGGAGGAGCGTTTGGAGGCGGCTATCAAGGAGCTTTACGACTCTGGTCTGCGTGTGGTCGTCTGCGGTTCCACCGTTGGTGACCTGGCCATGCACTTCCTCAACCGCTTCAACATCCTTGTGATCAAGATCCTCTCGAAGTTCGAGCTGCGCAGACTGTGCCGTGTTGTCGGCGCCACCCCTCTCGCTCGCCTGGGCGCCCCGATGCCCGACGAGATGGGTAGCATCGATGTTGTCGAGACTACCGAGATCGGCGGTGACCGGGTGACCGTCTTCCGTCAAGAGGATGCCAACGCTGTCACCCGTACGTCCACCATTGTCCTGCGTGGCGCTACCCAAAACCATCTCGATGACGTTGAGCGTGCGATCGACGATGGTGTCAACGCAGTCAAAGCTATCACCAAGGATCCCCGCCTGGTTCCTGGTGCCGGTGCCACCGAGACTCAACTTGTGGAGAGAATCTCCGCCTTCGCGGATAAGACTCCTGGCTTGCCCCAGCACGCTATTCGCAAGTACGCCGAAGCGTTCGAGGTGGTTCCTCGCACCCTGGCCGAGTCGGCTGGTCTGGACGCTACTGAGGTTCTGTCTCGTCTCTACACCGCACACCACCGGTCTTCCAACAATGATGAGTCGGAGGAATCGTCTGCAGAGGAGGGCATCTCCGAGAAGGAGGAGCCTTACTGGACCACGGGTGTGGATTTGGAGATTAGCTCTTCAGCTGGAACCCTTGACGCCGTGGAGGAGGGCATCCTGGACCTGCTAGCATCCAAGAGCTGGGCCATTCGTCTCGCGAGCGAGGCTGCCCGCACGGTGCTCAGCGTTGACCAGATCATTGTTGCTCGACAGGCCGGTGGTCCTAAGCCACCAGGCCCCAACCCCAACTGGGATGAGGATTAAATGTAATATTTAGGAGAATGTGATATCCATTGGAGGCTCAAAAGCATGGAATGTGATAGAGACACGATAATCATGAATTGCCCATTGACCTATCCATGGGCATCTCTAGTAACAGTAGTGGTAGATGATTATTCTCATCCGTACATCCTGGAATACTTCATCCACAGCTGCTGATCTGTTCTATAATGTACCTGACCGTTCCTGATATACATCGTGAGTACTTGATTCTCTGTTGACAGAACGCCGACTAGCGGGTGTCGGTATCACGTGACGCGACTGGATTTTCCGGACCGAGACTCGACTTTCTTTTCCCGCAAAGGCACTTTTCGAGCATTCGATCACTTCGAGCAGCTTGAATCCCCTTGGCCTAGCCACCTTCTGTCGCCTCCGTCCAGATCGCCTTATTTCACGCCCAGCATGTCCATGTCTACCCAGTTCGCAGCTCGCTGCTGCAGACAGATTGTCCGCCCTACCGCTTCTCTGCGCGTTTCCTCCGCTTCATACCTGTCCAGCGGCCGGAGATGGCAATCCACGGAGTCTGCTGCTCCTGCCAACCCCAAGATCACCCAGATTGTCGATCAGATCAGCCAATTGAACCTGTTGGAGACTGCCGACTTGGTCGCTAGCTTGAAGGTGCGTTTCTTGCTTCTCCTCTGGCCCTGTCGCAACAGCTTCCGCCCAGGACTTGTTGATGCAGGGTTCCTATCAATCGAATTGTCTCGGCCCCAATCGCTCATGTGATGTGATCGCTTGAAACTCACTGAGATCGTTGCTGACGAGGACCTTGTCACCTTATAGTCCCGCCTTAACATCCCCGACCTTCCCGTCGGTGGCTTCGCCATGGCCGCTGCCCCCGCCGCTCCCGCCGCCGCCGAGGAGGAGGAGGCTCCTGTCCAGCAGGAGAAGACTCTGTTCAACCTGAAGCTCGAGTCCATCGACGCCGCCTCCAAGGCCAAGGTCATCAAGGAGATCAAGAACATGCTCGGTCTGTCCCTGGTCGACAGCAAGAAGTTTGTCGAGTCGGCGCCCAAGACTCTGAAGGAGTCCGTCCCCAAGGAGGAGGCCGAGAAGATCATCGAGACCCTCAAGGCCGTCGGTGCCAAGGTCACCATGGACTAAGAGCGGACTGTCGTCTGACGGGTCCGTGGGGGGACTTTCCTTTGTAATGCTACCCGGTCCATCTGGGTTCGCTCTGTGGCTGGCTATCATTTTCTGGGATGATGGGACAGAAGACGAAAGAACCTGGATGGCCTGGAACGTTGTGATTGGGCTGCATCATCGAGCTGGAGTTTTTATCTCGCACCACCCTTTTCTTTTTATTGTATTGTGTTCTGTTATATCACCCTTTTCTTTATTATCTTTTTTCTCCGGTCCCTATATCTCCTGAGATTCTATTTTCTTTTTGATATAAACGGAAAGCGGGAAAAAGGCGGCGAATGTACATTATCATCTGTATCGAATGGACAATGTGGAAACAAGAGGAAAGAAACTTGTTGTGGTCTCTCTGTCATCCGAGTTTTGCCAGCAAATCATCATGGGCTCGTACGTAGTATTTTTGATGAGACGAGTAGCTGTCAAGTCTGTTTCAGTTGAAAGAGTACGACGGTGGAAATGCGCGACAGAGAAGCAAGACTTCGTTCATCCTTGGAGACATGTGAGTGAGATGCTGATCAGTCCATTGTATTCTGGCGCCATTGTTATTGTTTTCTTTTCTGACGCGGATGTCGAAAAGTGGACGGAGATGCGGAAAGCCCGAACTCCATCCAGATTTCTTCCTCCCCTCCTCCGCCTTTGCATCAACCCACCCTTCCTGAAGTTCACTTCTTGTACGCCCTTCCTATCGATTCGCCATGTCTCTCCCTGGGTCCTCACGCAGCATCAGACGACAATGCCAATTACGGCTGCATTCGGGCACAAGCCCCTCCCTGAGCTTGCACTATAGCTCCAACCTGCGCCCCCGCCTTGCCCAAGATCACTTCCACCTTCAGCATAATCAACTCGCACCTCGACCTCCGCCCAGTTCCTGCTTCCACACCACTTCATCCAACAATGCCTTGTATCGAACGCCTCGGAAATCCCCTGCGCTCCGGCGCGCCGCCAACATGAGGGATGCCCGCGTGTCTTCTCCTCCCCGCCCTGCAGGAATCGGCCCGGAGTCTCGCATCACCGGCGACCTCACCGTTCACAAAAAGTGGCTCGCAACAGGAGGCATGGACAACTGGGCGGACGCCGTCCTCAACAGAGACCTCAAAACAGAGATCACGTGGCCAATTTTCGAAGCCACCGGCCTACACTTGCTAGAGTGTGCTCATGGCGGCCCTCCCACCCTGGCCGCAATTGAAAATAACCCGCGCAACTGTACGTGATATTTTCTCTCTAATCCTCGCTTTCAGGCGTGACGAATCCCGGGGTGGGGGTTCACCCGTTGCTCCTAAGAAGATCGAACACTAACCATGTTTCCTCAAACTGGGGAACCATTAGTGACACCCCTGGAAGTGTTCAAAATCGGCAAGCTCATCCTCCCGCTCCATCAACCCTTCCAGCACTGGGTCTCCTCGGCCAGCGCCCTGGCCAAAGTCCGGCCCGCGATCTACATCCAAGCAGCCAACTACCTGAAGGAGATGCGCGCGCACAACAAGAGCCAGTCCCCGCCGCCGCCGCCGCCGCCGCGCGACGTGCCGATCCTGCAAGCCGTCGAAGCCCTGGCGACGGGCCCCTTTCCCGACCCGCGCGCCATGCACCTCCACGCGCGGGTCCTCTGCCACCGACAACAGTACCGCGAGGCGATGGCCCTCCTGGACGAGATCCTCGAGCTGATCTACCCAGCCAAGAAGCTCGAACCGGGCTTCGAGACGGGGCTGTACTTCCCGCCCATCGACTCCTTCTGGGACACCTACATGTGGGTCCAGGGCCTCATGCTGGACCACAAGTACCGGACCAAACACACCCCCGAGGAGATCTACCGCCGGGCCGCCGAGGAGTTCCAACAGCCGGAGTACCTGGTACGGTACGCGGGCCACCTGCGCGAGCAAGGCCGGTGGGACCAGTACGAGAAGTACATGCGCATGGCGGTCATGGCGGGCCACCGCCGGGCCACCCGCCGGCTGGCGTGCTACTACTACCTCATCGCGCAGGGGCGGTACCCGCGGCGCGGGCAATCCGCCGCCGCCGCCGCCGACTTCCGCCCGGTCGACCCCGCGCAGGAGGGCCAGGGCTTGCTGCAGGAGAGGCACCGCCCGTGGTGGCAGCGGCTCCGCGACGAGATCTGGGCCGAAGCCCGCCGGCCGTCGCTGACGCACTACCGCGCCATGGCCCGGGAGCTGTTCGAGCTGGCGGCCGCGTATGGGAGCCCCGAGTCCGTCGTCGTCGCCGCCGTCATGGCCCGCGAGGAGGGCCGCCTGGCCGAGGGTGAGCAGATGATTCGCACTATGCTTCGCGCCCCTCAATTCCAGGGTCCCGAGTGGGCGCAGGTCAAGGTGGACGTGCAGAGCCTTCTTGAGAAATGGGGGGATCTGCAGTTCAAGTTTAAGATCCCGGAAGAGTACTTCGTCCTCTAGGCCAGAAAAAGGACAAGGAATTCAACAAAATGAGAGTTGGGTTGCCCTCTTCTGCGGGGTGGTTTCGTGACTCTGTATCGGACTCGGTGAAGTGAGGTGTGGGCGGCTTTGTTGAAAGCTCGATTTCTTCTCTGTGCACTCTTAATAATGACTGTGATACCCAAGTATAGACTAAGAACGTTGTTCCAATACAAGAGAGATCCCGGAGCAGTGGGGAGGGAATTGGTCCGAATCAGGCCTGGTGTAATCTTGAAGGCGCAGTAGAAGATGCGATTGCGACTGACGCGCTTAGGTGGAACATTCATGGGTACCAGGATCGGAAAGTATGACAAAGCCCGAGTTTGAAGAGAGAACTTGACTACCTAGTATCCATCGTAACGCCACCCCTGTGCTCGTCGTAGCGCGACTGCATACCTATGATCGCTCTCTGCGTAATGTCACTCCTCCCACCAGAATCATTCATCATATCGTAGAAGAAGAAAAAAAAGGAAAATTGAAAGAGAGATATAAAACACGGAACATTATCTGGGGGGTGGGGAAAATCGAAAAGTTCTCTACTTTTCTCCTTTTCCAGCACAACGCGGTCAAAAAACCCTTGTCATAATTTCCCCCAAGCTGCGGACAGAAGCACTTTGGAGCGTTCGACCTATCACCTCCTTCGACCCTTCCCTTTCCCTTTCCCCCGCGTCTTCAATTCCACAAACCCAAGCTCCTTCAATCCTTCTGTCAAAAGGGACGAATCCCTCATTCCAGGAAAGTCCTTGGCCGGGAACACGCGGAAAGGATTCGTCCAAGCCTCGGCAAGGATCGGCATCGACTTGCCAGTGTCTTCCACATGACCCCAGTTCATCAGACGAAATTGGAGGCGGTACAGTCCAGCTGTACGGACAGAAAGGTCGGAGAAGATGTAGAACGTAGCAGGCTGTCCCGGGGTGTGGGGGGTGCCGTGGTAAGTGGTCGGTGGCAGGTATGCGCCCGTTTCGGGTGCGTAGTAGCCCGACGAGGATGGATGGGTTGGCGCTGTGCTGGGGTCCGGATCTTCATCGACATAGAAAGGTGACACGAAAGCTTTCCCGGATAGCAGAGGAGTAGACTGTCCCTGGCTCAATTCATCCGCTCTACCCGTACCGTCGGCGTTCACGTCTGATTGAGAGAATCCGGGTTCGGGGATGAGAAAACAGCCCACAGTAAATCGCGGATCTTGGAGGATGTCGTTGTCGTCAGAGGATTTCGGATCGAAGTCTGTCAGAAGCATTTGGATGATGGGAGGTGGGTCGATAGGCCGTCGGTCTCTATCACCCGCGCCACAAGCTCGCGCAGCCAAAGGCTGCTGTCTGATGTGAAGGTGATATCGTGAGGTTGAGGACGGTCGCCGCGGGGGAGGGGACGGCGTAGGCGAATGGTGAAGCAGTCTTTCAAATCCAGAAGGCATACTCGTCGTACTCTGCCTTTGGGGTTGTTGTATCTGACGCTTCTCCGCGGCCATGCTGGCGGAAGACCCCCCTGTACAATCATAACAGTGACCAGGACTTGGGACAGCCGTGCGGGGTTCGCTGTTTCTGCCAGCAGGAATTAGTGACTTGACCGGAAGAAAGCACATGGCACTTTTTGTCGCAGCTATGGAGGGAGGATGTGGGAGCAAAGTACAGTGATGGTAACCTGCACGCGCATGCTCATTATGAAAATGTAAAACGGAAGCATGCGTGCATGACCCAGTCAAAAGATGACAGAACCATGATCACGCATCTGAGCTTGAACGAGCCAAAGCCGACAAAAGAATGGAATGGAAACTAAGAGCTAGGAAAATGAGGCATACTCCACGTTTCTCAAGACATTGGACCGTTGAGCCCCAAAGTGAGCTGGACTACCAGTATTATATGGAGGAACCGAAGGGACATCATGCTTCGGATGGGCGACACTATCCCAGAGCCTCTCCTGATAGGGCAATCTAGAGTTGAAAGCGGTAGATGCGACAGTGGGATCATAAGCCTGACTGGCTGAGCCAGGAAATAAGAAGCGCGGAAGCTCGTCTGTGGGATGAGAATGACTCGGAGCTCCTGTTAGCGCCTGATGGTCGTCGCCAGCGGCTTGGGCCCGCCCATCAGAATATTGCCCGCTGGATGTGGCATGTCTCCATTGATGCAGCGGCGTCCTCGACATCTAGACAATTGGCGCTCGGAAGCTCTCCTTCCGGTAATTCTTGTTCCTGGTTATCTCCTTGGGAATTGCTTTTCTGTGACTTTTCTTCTTGTCGGTGGGTCTTGTTTCCTCTTCCTATCGGCAGGTGCTAAGAACTGATCCCACAGGTCGTTTTCTGTAGAGTGAACATCCATATATAGGATCACGAATTGATGGGTCGAATTGAAAGCTCAATAAGATTAGGGCGCACTCGGTGATGCCCAAAAAAGGGAGACAAACAAGAATGGGATGACACTTGACTCGAATGAAATGATAGCGCGCGGCGGCATAATAATAGGTTCCAGACGGAAAGTAGCTTCGCAAAATTATGGTAGGGATGTAGAAACACGGCTTTTGAGGGGCGGCTATTAGGGAAAATTCAAGGGCCCAAAGAACATGGTCCGCCGTTGGTGGACGTTCCTACGAGGAGAACTGGTAGAGTAACAGTCATCTATTAGTTCGTCCTGACGAATGCCAGAAATTTTCCCACAAAGCGATTGTTTGGGAAGGGGTATAGAGTGGGAGGGGAAATATGTAGGGAAAATCAGAAAAGAAAAGAGTTCCACCGACCTCCATCCAACCAGCTCATAGCACCACTTGTGCGGCTGCAGGTAGTGACGATGGAGGTGCTGAGATTTGCAGTCAATCCGCTGCTTATAAGGCGTTTTGGCTTGTCGGATGACGCAACTGATTCAGCGACGATAGGAAAGGTTGACTAACCCTAAATTAAGCAGTAATCTGCACATTTGAATCCATTCCATATGTGGCCGTGAAAAAAAAAGGAAAAGAAAAGAAAAGAAACAGATCCGGGGAAATTGGCAGGCTGGGTAATACTTTTGTGAGAGAGCCTGTGCGTGCCCACTGTGTATGTGTGTGGCATTGCGCGAAAATCAAGACTTGCAGCAACACTGCGTCCCTGACAGGATCCAGCATGGTCTATTCCCGGATCCTGGGATTTCTATCGAACGACTGGAGACCAGACGTTCGAATACAGCCCCGAAGAGGATGGTACTGAGACAGTCTCCGTTGGTAGTTTGACAACACATTATCAGTGTCTGGTACTAACCGAGCGAGGCCGGCAGGAGCCTGAAAGAGGTCTTGGTCATCAACAAACGAACACCAGAAGCAGCTGCTTAAATGGTCTCCCGCAAGGTGTTCGCTGTAAAGAAAAGAACCGCTGTAAAGAAAAGAACAATGAGCACCGGTATAGTATGGATGCAGACATGAATAGCGCTTCCGAGTGTCCCAGAATTCGTACATAAAAGGGCAGCTTGATGAGGCAGATTAAACATCACCAAGTACTGTGAAGTGAACTAGTCCAACAAGCCGCCTGATGCTGAATCAGATGAGGGGTCAATCATCTCAGAATCCCTGACCTCTTTGTATATCACCCCCTTGTGAAACCAGGGAGACTGCTGTTTGGTTTTGCTGCGCCACTGTTTGAAAAGACGCAGCACCAAGGGGAATTGTGTAAAGATGAGAACGCGACGTAGCGAGGGGTCGGTGGTTGCAGATCGTACCGCATGATGCAGAATCAGCACATATTGTCATTAGAACCGCTGATTGGTCCATGTGTATAATTGTCAGTTCAGAATAATCAGTGATACGCCAGATACCCGCGGACTTCCATGATCGCTTTTGACAGCGACTCGTTCCCCTGCAGATGGAGAGGCTACCAGGGATTCATGTGAGCAAGAAATATATGCGACCACCGCAGTGGTGGTCTGGTATTGGTATTTCCCAATACAGAAGTCGCCTGCAGCATCTTGAACTCGAAGGGACAGGAAAATGACGTTGTAGGATTTGTAAAGAACCAACTAGAAAGCTGTTTTGGTGGAGTCGAGGAGTTCCATCACTGTATCCGAGCTGCCGGTCCCATACGGAACTCTGTCCCGAGACAAAAACCTGCAGGCAAATACAATCGCTCGCAGCAGAATAAACAGTGCTCCGGAGTAGGTGATCAATTCTGACTGCAAAATCTCATATCTTGCCATCCTGTCATGCAGTCCGAATGCCTTTGCAAATGCATCACCTTCGAGGTTCGGGCCTCTTCTGGCTTCGAGGTGTGTTTGGATTACAAACTCGCTGCCAACTCTCTTGCCGTGGCTCATCATCTTACATCGAAGCAGGAGCATTTGACAGCTGAAGAAGACTGTAAAGACCAAACACCAGTGACAGTTGTGGGGAACGGAATAGTCGTCGCTCATGGTTCCAGCCGCTGCTGATGGTGGCGTGCTGTGGCTATTGGATTATTGCACGGGCCACTACGGAGACGGGAGGCCATAGTGCTGGGAATCCATAGTTAGACTAAGCGTAAGCGTAGCCGGAATAGACTATCCTCGACAGGGCTTGATTGCAATGTCACAAAGGCGTTGCCAAATAAGAAAGTTGAGGAAAGCGGTTTTGTCAGGCGACTGAAGATTGCAGGGCCCGTGCCGTCTCTCTTCGATAGTGCTTAGGATAATAAATCCATAGTACAGAGTACATTCGCTTGAGTGATGCGTGTGTGGCTTCTAAACTGGCGAGGTAAGCTTTTCATCCTTGTGATGCGGTATATGATCCCTTGAATGGCCACCGCCCCAGACTGTTTCATATTTGCTGACTGGTATAGCGTAGTTAGTGCTCTGACCCACATCCAAGGTCTAAAGCGAAAGTTTCTTTAAACGACAAAGGAGGTGGTGCTATTAGTGCATTAGCATCGTAGCGATTGTTCGCCTTTCGCGACTTGGCGAACAAGGCTACTGCATGTGAGTGGTTGCCTTACCGACAAGAACAAATGATGTCTCTTGACGGTTGAATGGCTCCCCTGGATTCCGTGGGATTGGCTGTATGCTGGCGGATTTCAGCACCAGCCAGGAAGTGGCGGTTCTCCCTGTGATCCACGCAGTCCCTTGAAGTTCCTGGAATTTATGTGTACTTAGTGCCCACTCTTAGGTTTGCGTTCGGGTAGCCGTTGGTCTGGACCTCTGGCTCTGGAGGCTACCATACTGCAGCCGTTAGCAGGACAATAACTACAATGACGGCCCTGCTTGTGCACACGACGAACCTTCAATGCTGCAGGCCCTGTTTTTCAAGGTTCTGGTGCCGCTTCATCCTCGAATCCCTTTCCCTCGTGTCTTGCGGCCGCAGCCCTGCGTTTGCATTGAGGTAGCGAGGCGACCAGGCAGTCGCTGACTCGACCGAGGCAGCTGGATTTCACTTAGCGCTGCGTGTAGGCAGCCCCGAGCCACCAGCCTCGAGCAGGCAACTGGGACATTTCCAAGTTCGCAATACGAGGTCCCCGAAGGCGACCGCACCCCAGGACAATCAAAGCGACAGAGTAGTCATTCCGGGAAATGTCGGGCTTAATCCAGCAAAATATAGTGGCGCGCTCAAACCGGGGAGATCTGAACATTATCTCCTTAGACTGGTTCACACGACGCTAAGGTGGAGTGGGAATGTATCGAGTGGACTTGAAATGAATCGCCGATGAGTCCCAAAGAATTGTCCACTGAGGAGGAGCATCGAAGGGGAAGATCTGGAGAGGTGGAGTGGAGGAGGTAGGGGGAGGAAAGAAGGAAGGGGGTGAATCAAGTGACCGGCACCCCATCACAACACAAGCAATTTGGCCCCGTCCATTGCACCTCCGCCATAGAGCATCCCACGGTTTCAGGCGTCGCCATACCTAACTTAAGCGTCTGGCAGTACTTTCGACCACATAAGCTATGTGCCCGGTGTGAAGTGGGAAAGGGAAGCAGAGAAGGCTCGGACTCCGGTTGGGGTATTCCCATCATGACGGTTGGAGTACACCGGAACCAGACTTCGTCGACCAGTCAACAGTTACCTCGAACTCCCATTCACCTTACGTGGGGCTCTCTAGCTGAGCCTCTCTGGACACAGATGTCTTCAGCATGATGGCTGTGGTGTTAAACATGAAATTTGACACCAAGGCACACTTTACAGTCCGAACCAGAACATCATTCGATCAGAAAGACTCCTCGGAGATGCACTGCACGAATACCGAAACAAAGAAAAACCTGAATTGGGGCCAGGTGCCATCTGGACAAATAGGCGGGAAAAAAAGAGAAAAAGAGAGAGAAGAGAACATAGAAGGAAAAAGCAAATTAGCAACTATTCCAAGTGCATGACGCTATCACCTCCGATCCCTCTTGGATGCTGATCCCCAGGCATATGGCAGTTCTACGGATCTTCATGCAATCAGATTATTCGCTCAGATGAAGGCAGAACTAGTGCATTGGGCGTAAGGGAGCAGGGATGACCTGGCGTCCAGACCGACAAGCTTCGTTGTGCCTGTACCTCTGTGGCACTCACCAAGTCAAAGGATCCTAGTACTCTCGAACTTTGCATTGGCTTCTAGGCCAAGGCAAATCAGCCCAGTGTTAACACAATACTGCTATTTACCTGGTAAATGCCAGAGCACAACAGGCTGTGTCTCTACTATATATGGTTCGTACTGTCTATGTTCGTCCACGGAGAAAGCATTGCAATCACTAAAGATATTCTACTTTGGGTTCTTGGGGCGATATCTTCAAGTCACATATCTACGAATCTCTATCGTAGATACTACTCCGTTCCTCGACTAGATGATTGGTTACATTGTGCCATCTCGGCTGGATAAGAGTATACCAAGCCTAAAGCGTATTTACCGTGTTCTACATCCGGTTGTCGCACACAGGTACTATATTTTACAGGCTAAGAAAGGGTCGTGGCTGCATACCTCGAGTCACAAGACCTCTGCGTACAA